AAGAAAGTGAAATTCAGATCATCCATTCCATACTCAGGAATTATCAAACGGTATTAAATGAGATTACAGGCAACACACCAACATCACTGAGGTTTGGAAAAGAATTGAAAGTGTTATTGAACCTTATGTACTCACACTATGATGACCATCATTCAACAGTGTTATGCAGAGTTTGAAGAGAAATTAAGGAATACCATTAATGATATACATCTTTTCCTGAGAAAGAATTGAATCAGCTAATGATAAGTTGAAAAGTTACTATGAAGCAAATGCTGTTAAGACTGGATTTCATTATGGTAACATTGTATGGCAGCACAATCAACACTGCAAAAGAGGACTATTACCAAAGATAAGTAGATGCAAGGAATGACCCCTATGCTGTAGTCAAAAGAATCAATGCTGTGGATTATAGAATTCAGAAGGGTGGGTATTTCAACCCAAAAGTTAGCTACCATGACTGCAATGTCCTTCACTAGCCAATGAATGCTGTGAAAGAATAACTAGTTACATAGTGATATACCTGCAAAGAATGGATACAAGGTTTCTTGTATCAGTATGGAACCTTGGTACTTTGAGAGTTCTGCTTGGTTTAAACATGGAATGTTCTCAAGATATTCATCTTGAAGGAAGAAAGCTGATACTCTATTCAAAGATTCAGTAAAGGCAATTGTGTTTCTATGCAAGTACATACACTATTGTTTGTGCTTTGTCTTTAATAAAGATTGTTACACATAACATCACACATGCCCAGTCTCATTTTTCACACAGCTTAAAATTCAGATGTTTTTCAAATTCACACTACATTGCAAATTTCCTGCTCAATCCTTCCATTATTAAACAGATCTATCTGATACTTTTGTTCAAATCAGTTTCCCTGAGAAGACCAAAAAATAAAAAGGAAGGAGAAATGTTGGTGCTGTGACAACAAGATTTATTGTGAAGTTTTCTTTTTTGTAAATAAGCACACTGGCTCTTGCTTGATCTTGTGTTTAAACAGGTTTGGAATACTTTTAATAAAAAATACTTCTATTTGCAGAATAATCCAATTACCACAATCAAGAAGTGGAGTTTGCCACTGGAGAGTGATGGTTGTATGAGAAGTGTTGAGACTAGGAGAAGCCCTTTCCTAGACTTAGGAACTTCACACATGCTGAGAAGGTCTCTGACATTAATCAGCCTACAACTGTAGACTGAGGAAAATCTGCTGATATCTGGAGCAGCCTGACCAGTAGATCACACCTTGTCCCTGAGGATTAATATTAGCACAAGTGAAGTGAAAACTACTGAGGACCGTCAATGTGGAATGGAGCCTAGTGAGTCTGAGACCACTTGGAGAGGTCTCTACAGGATTGTGAGGCTGTTACCAGCCAAAGTGCCAAAGCACCAACTCTGGTCCACACCAACAATGAACAGTAAAGAAGGACTGGACGTGCTGCTGATGGACAACCCCACCAGTCACCCATGGGCAAAGACCAGGAACCATAGTATGGTGAGCCTCTCCTGCAGATTGAATTAGGAGCCAAGCTAAACGTAAATTCAGTGTTACAGTATATGAATAAAATGTTGCATTGTGTGTAATGGTAAAGTTGCTGTATTTTAAGTGATATCACCCATTGTTTAATCTAAATCAGAATTTTATTTTTGTTTGTTTAATTCAAACATTTTTGGAGGAATAAAACACTTTTTAACAAAATTAACCCAAATAATCAAAGTACAACAGCTTTAGTATAAAACATTAATCAAGGAAAAACATTTTTGTTTTCAAAAATTAGTCAAGAAAAATAAAATGTTTTTTTTTTAGTGTACAATATGTATATATATATATATATATATTAAGTAAT